GAAAAGAGCCAGGGTTCTGCTCTTAATCTCTAAGTATAGTGAGGTTAACGGTGGCCGCAAGAGAACAGTGCCATTCATGAAACGATTTTTTAATTTAGCCGTCACTATCTCTCGAAGCCAACGTCGTTGCTCTTAGGACGATATGGTTTTAATATGCTGCTGATACTGACCAAACGTCCACCCTTAATATTTCGAATATTGGGCATTTCGAACTCTGTTACGCCAGGTGCAGTCAATGACTGAACTTTAATGAACTCATAGAAATTGACACATTCAGTTCTGGACTTGTTGTTGGAGCTATAGTTATTTTATCGATGTTTACGATTGAAGGCACCCGACCAAACCGGCAAAAAACTTTGTTGCCAGCATAGTAATATCATAACTGCGAACCACTGATAAACTGTAAGAAGACAGTTCTTTTTAAATAATAAGGTTTGAATGTGGAAGTCTCCTTGAGGGATCACGTTCGAAGCGCACAGATTCGACAACAGACGTCATTTCTGCATTTTACATGGCACTAAGAAAGGAGGAATGACTATGCTGCTCGCTTGACAGACAGCCGATAGACGACAAGAATTGCAAACTGGCTTCTCCTGGGGGTATGTGTACAAGTATGTATCGATTGGGCCTCTATGTGTATGCCTGGAGGTATGTATCCATGTATGTATCGATCACGTTGGTACGACCTGATGGGCAGATTACTCAGCCAGCGGTAGAGACTGAAAACGGTGAATAGAAAATAATGCAGATGCGTTGACTTGCGTTCAGGATACACTCTCAACAAGGATAAGTACGATAACAGCCACGTTCCGTAAAAATGCATTTATGTTGATAGCCACAGTTGCTGCACAAGCTAATAAACCGTCATGTAGTATAAAGCAGATTAATAATCTAACCGTCCTCAATTTATTTCCTTTTCCTTTTCACTTTAAACTGAACGGAAATTTCCAGTTCTGTTTGATCAACCTTGAAGGTGTGATTGAGATTCCTATCAAACGCTGCGCATCCTTCATT